ATTCTCCTGCCTCAGCCTCCTGAGTAGCTGGGATTACAGGCATGCGCCACTATGCCCAGCTAATTTTTGAATTTTTAGTAGAGATGGGGTTTCACCATGTTGGCCAGGCTGGTCTTGAACTCCTGACCTCAGGTGATCCACCCGCTTCGGCCTCCCAAAGTGCTGGGATTACAAGTGTGAGCCACCGCATCCGGCCGCTATTTTCTTTAAAAAAATTTTTTTTTGCACAGATGGGGTCTCACTGTGTTGCTCAGGGTGCTCTGAAACTCCTGACCTCAGGTGATCCCCCATCTCAGCCTCCCAGAGTGCAGGGATTCCATGTGAGCCACCGGCCTGGCCTCCGCCTGCTTTTTATCTATAAGATGGGGATAGTCACCCGAACATCACGCAGCAGAGCCAGGGAAGAGGGTTGATTGGCCTGGGGGTCCCCACAACCTTGACTCTCCCTCTGTTCCCACAGGGACACCCAGGCTGGCCGACTCCGGGAGCGGGAGCGTGTCCCACGTGAGTAGCTGGGACCCCTCAGCCCTCTGAGGAGGTCTGGAGAGTTGGGGGCAGGCTGGCCCCGGGAGGAAGGTTTCAAAAGCCCACGGGGAGGCTTTGGCACTGGAAGGAAACAGGCGGAACGTCTCATGATTCCCACAGGACTCTCAGGAGTCGAGGGCTGAGGGTCGCAGTGTGGACACCAGGCCGAAGAAGATGGAAAAGGAGAAAGAACCTGCCGCCAAAGGGACCCCAGGAACGGGGAAGGAGAGGCTGAAAGCCGGAGCCAGTGAGTTTGCAGGAGGCCTGGGTGCGGTGTGGGGTGGGTGCGACTGGTGTGAGGCCCAGGTCCCGGGAGCTGGGTCCTTGGATTTGGGGAAGGGTGGGGGGTGTCCTGGTTGAGTGGTGCCGAAGTGTGGCAGGCAGGAGGAGACGGGCCGGGAGCCTCCGCTAATTCCTGCCAATACCCGCTAAGCCACTCAGCTCCGGGAAGTTCTCTTCCAGAAACTCTGGGCAGCCCCAGGCAGCTGCTGGGCACCCGAGGCTGGGTTCACCTGCGCCCAGGGCCGGGTTCAGGGCGCGCGCCTCCCTCTTGGCCTCTGCGCCCGGGGAAGGGGCGACGCGGAACCAGCGGCCACAGCGCAGCGCGCACTTGCCCCCGCAGGCCCTCGGAGCGTCCCCGCGCGCAAGAAGGCGCAGAGCGCGCCGCCCCCGCAGCCGCCGCCGCCGCCCCCAGCCCCGAGCGAGGAGCTGCCCTGGGGAGACGTGTCGCTCAACCAGTGCCTGGTGCTCGCCTCGCTGGTGGCGCTGCTGGGCTCGGCTTTCCAGCTGTGCCGCGGTGAGCGCGGGCTCCCCAGGGGTGGGGCGGGACTGGGGTCCACCTGCGCGCCGTCTCCTCCAGGGAAGTGCCCTTGGTCGCGAGGGTGGGGTCTGGGAGCCGCCTTCTCGGGGCTGGGTCTTGCGCGCCCCCATAATTGGTGCCGCTTGAGACTGGTGCCGCTTCCCTTAAGTGATGGACCTCGCGCGCCCCTGTCACCCCGGGTGGACCTTGCGCGGGGCCCATTCCCCCCGCCGAGAGGAGGTTCTGGCTTCCGGACGGACCTCGCGCAGCCCCTCCTCGCGCGGAGCGTTCCGCCGCTGTCCTCCTGCGCCCTCTTTGGGGACGGCTCCGCTCGGGAGCGCCTCCCGGGGCACCTCCTGCGACCCCTCCCTTGCTAGGGGTCTCCTACAGGCGCGGGGGGAGAATAACCAATTGAAAGAGCGAGGTTCCGGCCGGGCGCGGTGGCTCACGCCTGTAATCCCAGCACTTTGAGAGCCGGACGCGAGTGGATCGCCTCAGGCCGGGAGTTCAAGACCAGCCTGACCAACTTGGAGAAACTCCGCCTCTTACTAAAAATACAAAAATATCAGCTGGGTGTGGAGGCAGGCGCCTGTAATCCCAGATACTCGGTAGGCTGAGACGGGAGAATCGCCTGAACCGGGGAGACGGAGGTTGCGGTGAGCACTCCAGCCTGGGCAACAAGAGCGAAACTCCGTCTCAGATTAAATAAATAAATAGAAAAGAAAGGGCGAGGTTCGGAGGAGGGGCACTCCGCAGAGTCCTGGAGTCCCTTCCCACAGCTGGGGGCATCCTTAGCCTCAGCGGTATCCAGGGGAACCTCACTCCAACAATCTGGAAGGGGGGGTCTAGGGGCGAGAGAGGACGGACAGTGTGGTCCGAGCCTCGGCCCGGCTGACTCGGGTCCTGACCCTGTCGCTGTAGACGCCGTGGCTGGGGAGGCTGCAGTCCATGCGCCTGCGCTAGAGCCCTGGGTCCCGCCAGGCTCGGCCCCGAGGGAGCCATCGTCGCCGCTGGTAAGCGCTTCCTTCCAGTGACTGCGGGCAGTGAGGCCTTCATCCCCAGGGAAGGAGCCCGGGCCGGGGGGAAGGGGGACGCTCACCCCAGAACCCCACTGTGTCTGCCTTGCAGCCGAAGTTGGAGGCCTCGGCGCCCCCATCCGCGCCGCCTGCGTCCCCGGCCGAGGTAGAGGCCAGACCCAAGGTTCCCAGGAGTCGGGAGGCTGCAGAGAAGGACGAAGGGGAGCCTGGTGAGGCCACCGGAGAGGCCGCCGGCGAGGACGGAGCGCCCCTCGACGACCGGGGGCCCAAGGAGAGGCCTCGGAGAGAGGGGAAGCCGCGGAAGGAGAAGCAGCGGAAGGAGGAGAGGCCGAAGAAAGAGAGGCCGCGGAAGGAGGAGAGGCCACGGGCCACCAGGGAGCCCCGGGAAGCCCTACCCCGGCGCTGGGAGTCACGCGAAGGGAGCCACAGGCCGTGGGCGCGGGACTCCAGGGACGCCGAGCCCAAGAAGAGGCAGGTCTGGGTCTCCCCGCGGCGTCCCGACGAGGAGGAGCGGCCTCGGAGTCGCCAGAAGCTCCGCGCAGGCAAGGGGCGGGACTGAGCCGGCCCGCGCTCCGCGCACCAGCCCAGGGACCCCTTCTCGACGCCCCGCGGCTGTGGCGAAATAAAGCGAGTGCTGCGGCCACAGAGTCACCTGCTCCTTTACGCCTGGACCCGGCTCCGAGTCCGGGGCCTCAAAGACGGTATTGGGGCGCTTCAGGCAGAGGAGAGAACAGCTGAGCGCCGATGGGGCGGACCCGGGCGTGCGCGGGAGGAGAGGCCATCGGGCTCCCTAACACGCAAGGACACCCCACCGTTTACTTGCTGGTCTTTATTGGGGGCATGCTTGGGGGCGGAATAAATATGGGAAGGGGTGAGAGCTGGGGCGCCTCCAGCCCCTCGGGACAGGGGCCCGCGCGGCGCGGGGGTCACCGGCAGCCACACTCGGTGGCCACCATGTTGGGCACGTGGTGCGCGCTGATGCGTTCCTCCGACAGGCTGATGAGCAGCTTGCCCGCGTAGGCGGTGGGCACGCAGCAGGGAGGTCGCGCCAGGGCGGCCCCGCGGGCCTGCATCTTCAGCAGCAGCACCACGTGGTTGCCGTAGCGCGGGTTGCGGTCGGACTGCGGCCAGCCGCACGCGCCCTGGCAATTGTTGGCCTGGTAGGTCTCGGGGATGAGTACGGAGCGCTCGGCGCGGAGGTCCACGCTGAGCTCGTGCAGCGCGCACGGCCCGTTGGCGGCGGTGGCCCCCGCGCTGCGCTGCGCCCGCCCCAGCCCGCGCGGATCCCAGCGGCGCCACTCCGCGCGCAGCCCCTGCAGCGCCTTCAGGAGCAGCAGCGCTCGCAGGGAACCGCCGGGGCCACCTGGGCAGAGCGCGAGAAGGCGCTCCAGCAGTGGGGCTGCGGCCGGAGGCAGACCCGGGAGGCCGCGCAGCTCGGCAGCCGCCGCCTGCAGCTCGGCAGTCACGCGGCGCACCAGGGCCGTGGCCCACGGCGCCGACGTGGGTTCCTGCAGGGGCGCGGGGTCCCCGGAGACGGTGGCCGCGGCGGGCGGCAGCAGCAGCAGCAGCGGCTCCTCGCCGTCCAGCAGGCGCTCCAGCGCCGCGGGGTCGGACAGGTTGACCAGACCCTGCGGGAAGCCGGCCAGCGCACCCGGGTCCAGTGCCAGGCGCGGCGCTGAGGCCCGGGCCGGGGAGCCCCGCAGCGCCCGCACCAGGCGCGTGAGCGTCTCCAGGAAGGGGTCTGCGCTGGGCGGCGACTCCTCGAGCTCCGCGGATGGCCTGGAACCCGCAGTGGGGAGAGTTGGGGGCGGGTGCGAGGCCACGCCACCACCGCCTGGTCCTGCCCCATGCCCCCGGGCCTGCGCGCACCTGGGTGGAGGGAGGGGCACGGTGTCCAGCTGGCCGTGCGCGGGCAGTGGCGCAGGCTCGGACCGCGGCAGCAGGAGCAGGGCCGGGGTCATCCTAGTGAAGCAGCGGCGGTCGTCGCCAAATAGCAGCGCCTTCAGCCGGGCCGTACTCAGGGGGGCGCCTGCGGTGGGGGGGCGGGGGCTGGCTCAAGGGCTGGGAGCCGGGGGCAGCCGACCTAGCGCCCCGTCCATCTCCACGCGGACCTACCTTCTCCTCGAGGCTGCAGGGTCAAGGCCAGCCCGGAGCCGCGCCAGGCTCCCGCGGGGCGGTCCACCGCCAACACCAAGTAGTGGGTGTCCCGGGACGGGCAGAGGCTCTGCGGAGAGCAGGGCCTCAGCCCGGCTGGGTGGAGGCTTACCCAGCCTGGCTCGACCCGCCCCTTCCTCCCAGCACCACAGACCCTGCAACAAATCCACACCCCTGCTGCCGCTGGGGAACTGCCCCATGAAACTCCCTGGTACCTGGGAACCCAGCAGCCCAGCCCTCGTCACAGTGACCTCGGGGCCAGGCCCAGGGTACAGCACCAGCAGCGCCAGCTCCGGGGGGCCAGCTCCTCCAGGCGGGGGCTCCTGGAACCTGAGCGAGGGTGTCGGCTCCCACGTCACTGCAGCCAAGACAGCAGGGAACACCTGAGCCATTGAAGGCCAGGACCTTCCCACATGCCTCTGGGAGCCTTTGGGGTCCATCCCTGCCACTCCGGCCGCTGTGCAGGGGACCTCGTGGGGGTACGAGGGTTCCTCTCTTCGCTGCCTTCCTACAGCCAGGGAGCGGTGACAACCGGGCAGGCATGGATGGAGTCTGAGGCTGTGGGTGGGGCTGCCCCCCTGCAGTCTCTGGGTTGGGGCTCCCGATGAAGCCCTTTCCCCCTAGGGAGTCTCCCAGGGTAGTGGCCCTGAGAACAGGCTGCCTGGGTATGGGGCTGTGGGGAGGAAGGTCCCTGCGCCCTGCTGCTTCTTCATGGGTGGCGAGATGGGCATGTCTCTGGCACTGCAGCAGGCACAAGTCTGAGAACTGGGCTTCAGGGACAGGACAGAGAGTGGTGCCCACCTCCCAGGCCACAGACTCACAGCCGACCCAGGAGCAAGACCACAGCCTTCTGGCCCGGGGTGGGGGCTCTGCCAGCCCCTAATCCTCCCTAGGAGGACCACCAGGTCAGTGATGCCAAGCTCAGGGCTGGGACCCACGTACCTTCCTCCAGGTGCAGGACCACCAGGCGCTGTCCCCCAGGGCCCCGAAGCCAGGCCCCCAGCCGCTGCAGAGAGAGCAGGGCGGCCTGCCTGTCGCCGGGGCTGCAGACCCCAAAGGTGGCCAGGTCTTGGGGGCCCCAGCGGGCCTGCTGCACGGCTCCCAGGAAGGCCTGCTCATAGCCTCTCAAAGTCCCCACCACCCGCAGGGGGGTGCTGCTGCCATTGCTGTCCCCACCCAGTGCCACTAGGCACAGAGGTTCTTGGGGGCTGCCTGGCGGCCAGTCCACGTCTTCTCCAAAGATGAGGCCACCAGTGGCCACAGCTGGCTCCTCTACTCCAAGGGTCTCAGTCCCTAGCAGAGCCCCCAGGGCAGACAGCACCAGGGCCAGGTGGGCGAGAGGCGGGCCCTGCATTGTGGGTGATGCGAGGGACTGGGCTGCCCGCCTTAAGTGGGCCAAGTGGAAGGTGGGGTGTTTGTGCAGGCAGACGGGTCCCTATATCCTCTGCCGCGACCTTGGGGGACAGTGCCCGGCGCCCACACTCCAGGCAAAGTGGCCTTCTCAAAGATCCCTTTCTGTCGCCGGCAGCCTATCTCCCTCCCCGGCAGTGATAGAGCTGGGCCTAATGTGTCAACACGTTGTCCTTGAGGGCCCGTCCCCAGAAGGCACAGCAGTGCAGCCAGACTACACAGCGCTGGGGGGCGGGGAACCAGATGTCCTGGGTGCTGGGCCTCGAGGAGGAGGGTCCCAAGTCAGCAGGGGCTCCCTGTCCCCTGTTCACCCTCCGCACAGCTAGTGGGCTATCCGGAGACCCCAAGGATATCCTGGAGTCTCTGCTCTTCCCTCCTCAGGACATGACCCCAGACATACTCCTAGATGGCTGGTGGGGTCTGTCCACCAGGCCACCTCCAGGGCACAGCTGCCTCTTAGGCTCCCACAGGTGTCTCCCGGTGGGCCCCAGGCCCTCCCCAGTCGCCCAAATGCGGAATGGTGCCGTGCCTGGCACTCCCACACAGCATTCACACGGGAGGGCGGCGCTGCGGAATCCATGCACTCAGGGCTGGGGGAGGCCGTTTAATGAGCCGGGATAGTACAAAAGAGCAGCCTTCCCTCCATGGGAAAGGCAGCAGCACCTGGGCCAGGCTTGCTGGGAAGGGAGCAGCTTCTCAGTTGGTGGGGGGAGGGGGAGGTATGTTCCCTGGGCCTTCGGAGGGAAGTGGGGGCCTCAGCATTGGGGGCATGGGAGTTGGGGGGTGTACCCCAGGATTTGAGGGATGAACTCCAGGAGGCTGAGTGTGGACCCCAGGAGCTGACGGATGGACCCCGGGAGGTTGGGGGTGGACCCCCGGGGCCTGAGGGTGCATCCCTGGGGCTGGTGGGTGCACCCCTGGGGCCTGAGGGTGAACAGCCGGGGCTGCTGGGTGCACCCCTGGTGCCTGGGGGTGAACTCCTGCTGATGGGGGTGGGTGGACCCCCGGGGCTGGTGGGTGGACTCCAGGGGCTGGTGGGTGAACCCCAGGGGCTGGTGGGTGAACCCCAGGAGCTGGTGGGTGAACCCCGGGGGCTGGAGGGTGGACTCCGGGAGCTGGGGGGTGGACCCCAGAGGTTGGTGGGTGGACCACAGGGGCTGGGGGATGGACGCCAGGGGCTGGGGGGTGGACCCCAGGAGCTGGGGGATGGACCCCAGATGTGGGGGGGTGCACCACTGGGGCCGGGGGGTGGACCCCTGGAGCTGGCGGGGGTAGCTGGGGTGGTCCTGGGGGCCCTGAGGGCGCAGGCCCCGTGGGGGGCATGGGTGGCAGAGGCAGGCCTCCTGGCGGGGGCGGCGGCAAAGACTCCGGCAGTGGTGGCCGAGGGGGCAGACCGTTCATCAGCGGGGGTGGAGGCCGCTTCACCCCAGGGGGCCCAGCTGGGAGGCTGGGCGGAGCCGGGGGCTTCTCCATCTTAAAGTGGAACTGGAGAAAGAACTAGAGAGACGAAAAAGGCTCAGCAGGTGCGGCTGGGGACTGGGCTGCCAGGGCCCGGGCAGGAGGGAGTCGAGGTACCCAGGTCAGCCACTGACCTGCTTGGTCTCCCGGTTCCAGTGGGTCCAGAACTTGCCCTCCGCCTTGTCGATCTCTCTGCTTGGCACCTGGGAGGGCGGGGGACAGAGAGGGCTCCTGGTCCCTGCGACCTCAGGATCGCCATCAGGCAGGAGGCTCAACGCAGCCCGAGGTACCAGCCTCCTTGGCCTGGACCACGCCCTGGGAGCCCAGTGGAAGGCCCCGGCCTGACACGACCCTCCTGACACAGGGTTCAGTCTGGAGTGAAACAGAGCCGGCCTCAATGCCAGCTCGCTGCCAGCCCTACCCTGCGCAGTCACTGTCTACATTGTTTACTGATGGCCACCCTGGCCAGGCGTGGGCGCAGGCTGCGGGAAGCCCCCCAACAGCCTGGCCCGGGAACGGAGGTCACCTGGCGAAGGCCTCACCGCCCGGCGCTCAGCCCTGCCGGCTCTCCCTTCTCCACGGGCACTATGCAGTCCAAGCAGGCGCCCTCCCACAAAGCCA